AACTGAAGGTTCCTATTTCACCGATATTAAAATCCACGGATACAGATTGTATGTATTGTGACATATTCAAGGTTTATTTTGTGCGTTTAACAAATATATTACATGGTATCTTAAATTGCAGTAACCAACAATAAAAAAATAATATAACGTCCGTTGACAAGGTTTAATCAGGCAATCGTCTGTTTTGATATTTAAAAAAAAAATTTCCTAGCAAGTGACATGTTTTGTTGTTGCAGTATTTCAGCGCTTGAAAGACATCAACAATTTAGAATATCATACACATAATTGTTTCAGAAATTACGTTCGTAATATATTCATACATTAATAGTCATTCAAAATGCAGGTGTATTGTGTGTTTTAATACACGTAAAATTTAAAAAAAAAAAAGTCACTTTGCAACACTAAGTCTTACCTGAAACACGCGACACTGGCAAAAAAAGGGAAAGAGCGATACCGTCGAAGTTTCGCGAATAAATTAATGAAACGAAAATTCGGCTTGGACATTCGGCTCGCTGTCTGTGCTTAATTATTCCGTTCCGAGCTTCCGGGGCTCGAGTTTTTCAAGCGTGGCCTGGCTAATTGAGAAACTTCGAAGCAAGACGAGATCGAAACACCAACGGCGAATTCAACGGCGGCTGTGTATTACTTGTCGTGTTACTTTGTTGAAGTACGAGAAGGGCAAGCCGCTGGTGAACCTCGTGGACAATATGGTGAAGTTGGGCTCCCTGTACAATCGCAACACTGCCAATGGGACCAACAGTGTCTCGGGTTCCCGACACGATCTAGCACACGACAATTCCAGGGATCATCGTTTGGAATTCAATCAGAAGGTGCAGGAGCAACGTTTGCTCGCCGAGGAGCGCAGGGACTGGGATCGATTAAGTCCTGACCATGGACAATTACAGGTATTGATTCCCATATGTATTATTTAAACACCGCGGTACGCGTTTATTTATTTATTTGCTGGTAATTAACATCACCACCACCTCAGGGTATTGGTTCTACGTGTACAATTGAAGAAATGAGTTCAAGTTACAAAGAGAAAAATAAAAAGCCACGATAGAATAAACACAAATAAATCGAAGAGTTAATGAGAGGGTATGTAGGTTCGAATAAATGGATCCAAGAGTACATTCATTCGATCGAGTGCTGACTGAAATTTGTGTTCTATTTAGTGGCAGTATATTTCATGCGTCTGAGAAACATCGAAAATAACGATCTAGAATTGGAAATACGAATTCCATAAAACATTAGGAGAATCTCCGCGCGTGGAAAAATGCTCGGACAATGCTTTTCAGTCAATACCATCTATCCAGTCGCAATCCTTTTTATACTCGCTGAGAGGGGACACACTCGCTTGACATCGAGTTGCGTTTGCTTCCATTCTGGCTGACCATGTTCTCCCCGGTGCTCGTAACAAACACCGCGAGAGGAACTGAACCGCGTTCTCGCTGCTCTGGGAAAACTCACTTTACCTGCGGGAAAGAAGCGGTCGAGTGCGCGAACGCGCGGGAAAAAGACAAGAACGGAACATCGACAGAAACCGGAGATTTCGTTAGAAATATATCAAGAATTATTTCCCCCTTTGTACACGCCCGGCGTAATAAATACTTGCTTCCCGAGCCGTGGCGCGCGTGCACTTTGCTGAAATTGCGTTACGAGAGGAAACGTCGCGATAAACACGAATTACACGCCGCGGAGTCCCATAACGGTGCATAATGCTAACGTGAAAATCGAGGCGAGGCCGGGAGACGTGGCGTGGGTTGGAAAAACGCGCGGGAAAATTACGAAGTCGGCCGTCGAATACAGTTAAAATTAGAGGTACCTGTATTTCGCGTGTGCAAGCGAATCCGGATGTCAACCCGTATAGTTTTTTTTTTTTTTTTTTTTTTAATATACGGATATATCAGTATATTTCTGTCACGTATGTTCACGCATGTACATGAGCTTTTTTGTTTGTATATTTTATGAAGAATCATTTAAATCTCTAAAAATTTTGACCACTTCGGTAGTCCTAGCGTTAACACTTCGAATCGTGTTCGAATTTTTTGCTACATACACATATGTAGATTCGAAGTGCCTGAAATTCCATTACTGTGCACGTGTATTTTATTATACGTCCAAAACTGCGATTTATAATTGAAATCCTTTGTACAGTTGGCTGCGTGTGCAATAAAACGTGCTAGACGCGTCGAACCGGTCCGATGGAACATTATATTAAAAATCATGGTTGCACGAGGTATGCAGGCGCGTATACACCTCTCTTTTTTTTTCTTTTTTTATTCTTTTCACCGATCCGCAATTACGACACGACGACCATCACTCGTTCTAGTGGAATCGCGATTCCGGTTGAAACGCGATTCCATGGTTACATTGCTGGTAAGCAACACTTCAAGGTTAACTCACCACGTTGGTTCTGTGTCGTAGGCCAAGGTGCAGCAGCTCTACAAACTGGATCGCCTGCTCCAGGAGGAATCCGGAACACTTCACAGTCTTCAGCAAGACAAGGCGAGTAAGGGTGCGATCGTAAAAAATGCGCGCGTTCTTTTTTGCTTTTCTTTTTTTCTTTCTTTCGTTCGTTCGTTCGTTCCCGATCTTTTGGAGAATCACGGGCAGAACGTAGTGGAGTTTGGATCGCGCACTTGTGGAATTTGAGAAAAACGTGATTCTTTGGTGTTATCACTGTGTGTAGAATGTTGCTCCTTGCTCAATTGTGAATTGGTCTTCTTGTTCATTTATTTTCATTAGTTTCGTAATTTCGAAAGAGAGCATGTTATGTCATTCATTAAAGTCACAGTGACAGTGTACTGTATATTGTATAAATGTTTCTTACTGCGAATTTTATTCTGGTGATCATTGTGAACTAGCTCGTGCTGATAAAAGATTAATAATGAAGGGGTCTTTGACCCTCTGGGCAAATGTAGATGGGCGAAAAGGTATAAATGAAAATTATCAGTGTTGCAGAGAAGCATTTGTAATATTTAGAGCGCAATGAAAGATCAATGACTTCACGTCTTAAAATTTCATTTATCGCGAAACGTGGTAAATTAAATTCATCCACTGTTTCTAAATATAGAAGGTTTGATAATAAAATGATGAAAGTATTCATGCAGAAATATGTAAATAAATACTAATCAGACAAAACTTAGTTTTTTTTTTTTTTTGAAACAAAAGAATTGAACAAGTTCGAAATTAACATGTTTGAAAATCAAATAATTTTATCAAATATTTTATAAATAAAA